GTACATTTGGGCTTTTATAGGCGTAAAAATTTTAGGCTGCTTTTAACGGCACCGGACGATGTTTTAAGGTGGAACCAAACTAATTCAGAGCGAATTTTAGACAATTTTGTTCTTGCTCGCTTCGCAAAACAAATGCGTCAATTTAACTGTATTTTTCATATAATGTGCTTGGATTATCCTAGATTCTAACAGTGTATTTTATTTGAAGATTTTTAAAATGTTTAGCCTATTACGGCCGAAAATCAAACAGTGCTATTTTTAGTTTTTGGCTTTTTTCTCCTCATCCCCAGGAACGATTTTTCTGAACTTTTCAGAATCCTATCACCTAGTACTATTGCAGTCTGTGTATAAATTTGGATGGAAAGTCTTGGGCAGAAAAAAGTTATGACGCTGCTTGAAAATTCGATCCAAAATTTGAAGCATATAAGACATCGCGCTTTAGAAACATTACCATTGAATGGATTGCCTTGAAGTTTTTACATATCTATTTCCAAGTATTGCGGATGAGCCTTAAGAAAAATCAGCATCAAATCTTAAAAACTCATYGAATAAATGATTTTTTACTAATTGTCGTTGTAAACCTCAAATATCAGAGTTTGGCTACAAATCACRTTTTCGCCGTCTTCTTCAAAACGGCTCCAAGCTTTTTCTTTAGACTTCCTACATCAATAGACCAGAGCTTTATCTAGATGGTAGTGAAATTTCTACAGCTCGTCCTTTCCAAATTTTGGAGAAAACATTTTTTAATTTTTGATTTTGAACTGTTCAATAACTTTCGACCAATCTCAAATCTTACATTTATCTCAAAAGTATGTGAGCGAGCCGTTGCTTCACAGTTGAATACCTATTTACAACACAATAACTTGATTGAGCCTTTCCAGTCGGCTTACAAACCTGGACACAGTACGGAATCAGCGTTGATCAAGGTGCAGAATGATATATTCCGTGCGATAGATGATGGTAGCTGTGTCATACTCCTACTGCTCGACCTTTCTGCCGCGTTCGACACGGTTGACCATGATGTTCTCCTGACAAGACTCACCTCTCGTTTTGGTATTGAAGGCACGGTTCATAACTGGTTTACATCTTATCTGACTGGTCGAAAGCAATGTGTTGCGATAAATACTGAGCGTTCATCTAGCCACGCCTTGACCAGCGGTTTTCCACAAGTGTCCGTACTTGGCCCTGTATTATATTTGCTCTATACTACCCCTCTGGGTGACATCATGAGGCATCATGGAGTGACATTTCACTGTTATGCAGATGACTTATAGATCTATTTATCCTTCAAGACCGATGTTGTTGGCGATCTAGAGCTTGCTCGGATGAAAGTGGAAGCATGTGTACGAGACATTGATATGTGGATGCTGAACAACAAATTAAAGCTTAATGATGATAAAACTGAAATCTTGATATTTCATGCTAAGCACCGTCCGGCTCCGTGGCTAGTTCCTCTGTCACTCCTTCAGAGTGTGCAAGAAACATTGGCGTTATTTACGATAATACCTTATCTCTGGACAGTCATATAACTCAGATTTGTAAATCTGCTTTTTATTTTATTAGAAACATTTCACGCATTAGGAAATTTTTAAGTTTTGAAACAACTAAGATATTAATTCACGCTTTCATTACAAATAAGTTAGATAATTGTAATGCCTTACTTTTTGGTTTACCGAAGCATCTTTTGTAGAGGCTGCAGTATGTACAAAACACTGCTGCCAGGCTGGTTACCTTATCACGCAAATCTCAGCATATTACACCCATTTTAGTACAGCTGYATTGGTTGCCGATTGAGCAGCGTATCGAATTTTAAATTCTTCTTTTTACGTATAAAGTTATCCATGGTATTGCGCCAAAGTATCTCTGCGATTTACTTGAGCCTTATGCTTCTCAACGCTATTTGAGATCTGGTTCTAAGAGGTTACTCAAGGTTTCAAATTATAATCTAAAGTCTTATGGATACCGCGCTTTTTCTATTTCTGCTCCAATGCTTTGGAATGCCTTGCCACTGCAAATTAAA